GCGAAATGTGAAAGCAAACACATGTTGTTCATAGAGGTGGCCTCGGTTTTGTAAAACAATGAGATGCAAAGGAGGAAGCGTACATATGTACCCTTTTCAATGTAGCAAAAGGTCAGCATCTCGTTGAGAAGAGAGAGAACCAAGGCTCATTCTCTATATGGGCCTTCCGGGGGACAGAACAGAATTGAAGAGAGCAACTGAAGCTAGGGATCTGGGAGTGATAATGGGATCAAACTTCAAACCAAGCGAACAGTTCACTTTCAGTTTGAACAACCATAAACCATGCACTTTCGTGCACCGGTTTTGGTTGCTGTCTTCTGGCTGCCCATTTAGATGAATACTAGGAGAAGTTCAGTGGTCTAAGTTTGCAAAGAAATTGAGATGCAAGATGTTTACGACACGCAGCCATATCATTCGGTGTCCTTAACAATCGGGTACGATCATCGCGAGATCCCCAGCCAGGGAGCCTAACAGGACTTAAGTGACCCAGACTCTTGGTCAAGGTTTTCATACCCTCGTGCCAGGTCTTAGCTTGGCCACCCTTGACTTTCTTTCACCCACTTGCCTCGGCGAACGTCGCTCGCCATGGCAACCTATCTGATGGTATGCGTAGCACATGCCCCAAGCCAACAGTGCCATCACGTTGTACAGAAAACCACACGGGCTCTAAACCAACTGAAAAGAGCGGTATGTTTGAGAGAGCCAAGTGTCCTCTTACCGCTATACAAGCCGTTTGTCCGGCCACACCTGGAATATTGCGTCCAAGCGTGGAGGCCCAAATTGGTGATTGACAGCAGGCTTCTCGAACAGGTACAGCGTCGCTTCACCAGGTGGTTTGGTCAGTGTAGAGGGATGGAGTATGACCAAAGGTTGCAGGAGTTGGGGCTGTTCTCTCTCAAAAGGAGAAGAAGAGGCGATCTAATGAAAGCGTTCAAGATAACAAAAGGCTTGACGAAGATAGAGGGTGCCAATGAACTCATTTTTAGGATGAGAGAAAGTGAAACCCTTAAAGGACACGCTCTGAGGCTGAAGAAGGAAAGACCCAGACTGGGGATCAGACGTCACTTCTTTGCAGTAAGTGATAAATGACTGGAATAAGCTGCCGAGTGAAGTAATAGAAGTCGACACGGCAACACAAGCTGTAGCTTGACAGAGCGTGGGGTAACATAGTTGGCGTGGAATGAAGGACATACCAGAGAAGTTGTATCGCGGTGACTGAATTAGGGGTGTTCCTTTTCACCCTGCACTAATAACTTATTTTTTATACGTGCAGGTCTGTGACAAAAGCTTACACAGAGAACGATAACAGAGAATTTACGATTCCCTGAAGACCTTACCGTCGTCAAGTCGAAGCACTGGGGGATTCAAGAGCCCACCAGAGCAAGAAACTGGACAATTTGGCATCTCGCCTTCAAGTCCTGGATCCCTGAACTGAACATGTAGAATGGGAGTTGGTTGGGTCTGTATTTTCCTCCCTTATAGATTGTCAGTCAACCCCCTCCACGTAGAACCTCTTGTCTGTCGACGGTTCCAGCCCACACTTAGACTCAGTTCATTTTAACTTGTCGATAAAATGGAACCCAGACATGACCACTGTGGTATCATCTCTGAAATGGATATGTTGTCATTGTGCTTCTTTTTGGAGGAGTGCTTCCGCATATTAAGGGAGCAGTGCTTCAGGGAGCAAACAAATCGGAGCCAAAATGTACAATCAGGACCTCCAAAAGAGATTCCAGGCGAACCCTCAACCTGGAGGACCAGGAGACTGAACTTCGTCTGACCTCTACCCATTGACCTTCCAGGCATAATAAGATCTCCTGGCTTTATAAAGCCATCCTGTGTAGCTCGTTGGTTCACAGAGGTGCACAGGCCATCACACCACTTCAAGGTGTAGTCTCGTAGTGATGGTCCGAAAGAGGGGGAAAACAACGGAAAGAAGCCGTTATCCAAAAGGTAATTAGGGTAGGGAAACAGCACAGACGAATCCAGCTAAAACAGCAAAATAGCTGTTCTTACTGTCGAGAACGAGGCATTGGAGAAAGAATTAAAAACAATAAAGCAAACGCAGCAAGTGCTGTAGTGTAGAACGAAGCATGTATTGCTGCATAATATCCCGAAGCATACAGTACGGGATAATAAGGTTAGATATGAGTCTGACAGGAGGCATTTCCAAGATATGTTCAGGTTGGCCGGTCTTCCCCCCACAACGCGTTAGGTAAAATGCCACAGCTTTGGACTATGGAGGGAATTTAAAGCGCAACAACCAAGACCCATATTAGTGGTCTTCAGAATTACGTATACGAGAGACCTGGTGCTAGAAAATGCCACCAGAATAGAGATCAATACCCGGGGAGCTATACGAGTAATTCCAGACGACCTCAAAGAGACACATCAGCGTGGGTAAAGCGAAAGGCAAGGAACCCCAGGTAGTAATAAAAAACGTGAGCACATTAATGGTGGAGCGAAACCCCATCCTCACCCGATTGAGAAACAGGTGAGACACGCGGTGACGCCCTCAGATGTCTCACCACTAAGCAAATGCACGCCACGTACGGGGAGGCTGGGGAAAAAGCCATCAGAAACCACCAGCTAATAGAAATCATACCAAAGGCCGAAGAACACAAGGAGACCACAAGAAAGCCGAAAGCCGTTCAAGACCCTAGGAGTAGAAACTCCGCGGATGAACTGCCGACGGAGACCTGAACAACCATTGTGTCTAGAACGCCAAATGGAGGACCAAGTTCGAGGAGGCCAATTTCTTTTCACCATAGGAATGGGTCGACAGAGAAGAGCCCAGGACTAGCTGTTGGAAAAATCATCAGCTTACCAGCGGTTGATTCAAACTGCTCTTCACGGACTCATTCCAGGTAAAAATCTCGTATATCTAGATGATATTGTCGTGCATGGCCGAAGTTCACACCTAACGCACCTCCGTGAAGGTGAAATAACCATGGCATACTTATCAGAAGCAACTAGGTTCAGATATTCAGTGGCGACTTGTTCCCTCAATTGTTACAAAAGCTACGCTACCGTTACTCTTTTCTTTCTTACTTAAGGACCCATCTCCACTTGGCACAATCAGGTATACCGCCAAGATTTAGCATGTATCGCCATCATTTGGCAATAGTGGTTTTCCAGGGAAAGGTTCTTTGTTGGCTATAGTAACTTAGACATTTCCAGGATTAAGTTTAGCTTTAACTATTTTCGTGAATTTAATGAGTCAAAAAGACTGCCACGCACAATTCCCCACGGTGAGCCCCGTATTGCACGTTTCCAGATTTCCGCTGCCGTTGCTAAAATACCAGTCTAGGCTAGATAAACTCACCTCCAACATTTCCAAAGTTTCAGAATATAACCTTTTTACAAACAGAATCCTCGGTTCTATTTCATCTGGAGACGGATATTTGGAAATAAAGTGAGCGAACATTAGTGACGGTTTCTGACGAACATCAGCAACCACCTAGTCACTAAACCAAGGCTGATGCCCTGGCAGATCATTTTTCTTGCGAAGGTGCGGTTCGTTCTACTTCTTTAAAATGTCAGGCAATACCTTCATCGACTTATAATGGTACTATGTTATGTGATATGTCTACATATCTACCTCGACCTATAGTACCCTCATCGTAACGTCATTTAGTTTTTGATGCTTTACATGGCGTATTGCGGCAACACTTTGTTTGATCGCTGCACGATACGTCTGATCAGCCATGAATAAGGACGTTCGAATGTTGGAAAAACAGTCATTATAGTGTCAACGATCCAAAGTGCATCGGCACATAGCCGCTCTCTCGGTACTTTTGATAAGACTGCCGCTTGCTTCGATAACGTGCATATTAAAATTGTAGGTCCATTACCACTACTACCTGGACAACCATTGTGTCTAGAACGCCAAATGGAGGACCAAGTTCGAGGAGGCCAATTTCTTTTCACCATAGGAATGGGTCGACAGAGAAGAGCCCAGGACTAGCTGTTGGAAAAATCATCAGCTTACCAGCGGTTGATTCAAACTGCTCTTCACGGACTCATTCCAGGTAAAAATCTCGTATATCTAGATGATATTGTCGTGCATGGCCGAAGTTCACACCTAACGCACCTCCGTGAAGTCCTTCAACGATTCCGACAAATTGGCCTGAAAATAAACCCACCAATTGCTGCTTCCTCCAACGCGAAGTTACCTTCCTGGGGCTCGTAATTTCGGCTGACAGCGTCCGGTGCGACCCGGAGAAGGTGAAGGTTATACAGTCCCCCCCACTTCAACATCGAAAGACTAGGTCAAAAGATTCCCGGGGGCTAGCGTCGTACTACAGGCGCTTTGTTGTGGGTTTTGCTAACAAGGCAGAGCCACTGACCCAACTGCCGAAAAATGAGGTGGTTTTAAGTTGGTCGCATAAGGAACGTAAGGCGTTCAAGGACTTGCGAGAACGATTATGCACAATACCTATCCTCGCATACCCCGGTTGTGTCCCATCCGCTGGGTAGTTTCTCGTAGATACTGAAGCTGGCGATCAAACAATCGAGTCCGTACTCTCGCAACGTCAAAACGGCATCACCGAGCGTGTAATAGCTTACACAAGCCGCCACATGAACGCCGTTACTGCACTACTCGGAAAGAAATGTTGGCCTTGGTCAATTTTCTAAAACACTTCAGACCATACCTTTTGGGCCGCAAATTCCTAGTACGTACGGATCACAAGTCGCTGTTGTGGCTCCAGTAATTCCGCAATCCTGAAGGACAACTCGCCAGGTGGCAGGAGGCCCTTCAAGAATATGATTTCGACTGCGAACATCGACCGGGTTCTCTACACCGTAATGCTGATGCGCCGTCACACCGGCCGTACAGAGCCCACAGCGACTGTCCATCTTGCAGCATAACCATCGCCACTATCACGCTCGACGAACCCTAGACAGCCCAACGGACCACCATTTAGTGAAACTACCGAGACCTGCGAGTGGTTTATGACCATCTTTAACGGCGCCAACCACGGCCAACAGCGCAGGACATGGCTGGGAGCAGCTACTTCGCCAAGCGTTTGTGGGCACTGTGGCCCAGCTCACGGCTGGTGAACCTGGTCCTCATGTATCAGGACGGATCTGTCTACACACGACGTACCACCGTGCCTCCTACGGCAGTCAACACAGTCTTGAAGCCACTTCATGAAGAACTCGGACATGCGGACCAGAAAAAATTAGCCGAAGTTGCCAAACAACACTTCTGGTGGATGCACATGAGGCGTGATGTGGCCCTTCTCTGCAATTAATGCACAGAGTGTGGCCAAATCAAGAACTCCAAGATGTAACCTCGTGCACCACTACAAGTTATGAAAGTTGGTTTTCCTGAAGAGATCTCGGGGATCAACCTCATCTTCCGGCTACACATCACTCAATAGGGAAGTTTTACTTTCTGGTTATGGTGGTTTACTTCACCAAGTGGTATGAGACGGTATCACTGGCGAAGCCCAACGCATGGACCGTTGGTAAAGCGGTGTTCACCGAGTGGTTTGCTCGCTGTGGTATCCCCTATCAGCTGCACTCAGACCAAGGTGTAGCCTTTGAAAGCGCCCTATTCGGTGAAATGTGCCACATCTTGAACATTAGCAAAATACAGATTATTCCGTACCATCCATAGGGTAATGGTTTGCTGCAGAGAACAAACCGCAAGCTGGAGGGACGACTGAAAGCATTCATAAACAACAAAACAGTTGCTCTATGGGACACGGCGCTACCTCGGTGCTTGTTGACACACAGACGCCACATTGCATGATCACCGGAAGCGAAATGCGGCTGCCGTGAGACGCCATACTACCTCACCAAACTCGGTTGGCAGATCATCGTTCATCTGATCCAGCCGTTCGTGCCCGTTTTGAATCAGAACCAGGGCAAGAGATAAACGTGCTGCGCGGTGGTAGTGTGGACGAACAGTGGGATCAGATTAGACGAGCAGTGCACTCTGCAACGAGAGTTCCTTGTGGATCTGAAGCGGTAGCTCGCCCGAGGCACTGAATGTCTGGTGAGTCAGTAGCACTAATGGAGAAAAAGCGGCAAATCCCGTCCGCCCGGGATCAGGGCAGGGGTAGGTGGCATCTGCAACGTCAACTCAAGAAGAGCCTCACGAAAGACCGCGAGAACTGGTAGGCAATGATAGTTAGTGAAATGGAAGTTGGAGCTGCACCAGGGAACAGTCGTTCGTAACCAAGAGCGGTGTTCGTCAAGGGTGCCCTCTTTCGTCATTCCTGTTCAATTTCGTTATAGACGAAATACTGGAGAACGCACTAAGTGGACTTCAAAAAGCAGGTGTTGGATGGGCAGCTGGAGAAAAGCTGTGCGATTTGGTGTACGCTAACGATATCGTCTGCTTGTTCGAATGTATGGAAGATGTACAAAAAGCACTTGACAGACTAGCAAGTTCTGTGGCTCCGTTCTGCATGTGCTTTGCACCTTCAAAGTGCAAAGTGATGCTGCAAGACTGGGTGTCACCGAGTTCTGTTTTGAAACTAGACGGTCAGAAATTAGCTGAAGTTGACTGCTTCTCTTATTTGGGTAGCTGTGTGACCAACGACGGTAGCACATCGAAGGAGAAAACCGCCCTCATTTCGAAGACTGGAGCAGTGTACTCAAGACTTAAACACCTGTGGCGGCGACGTGACGTTTCACTGAAGTTGAAGAGTCGCGTACACTGCGCCACTGTATGATCAGTTCCGCTTTACGGTTATGGGACCTTGAATTCGCGCCTAGTGGTTTTCGACAATCGATGCTTACGTAGTCTGGCCCTAGTGGGACGGAGTGAGCGGGTTAGTAACTTAGAAGTAAGTCGTCGGGTGTTTGGGAATAAATCAGACAAGAACTCGCTATCGCATCGAATCCAGCTCAGTGGGCTCCGTTGCTTAGGACACGTTTTGCGTGTATCCGATGGTCACCTACCGCAGCGCGCCTCATTCGCAGTGGCTGTTGCAGGCTTGAGAAAGCCATGTGGAGGTCAGCAGATGAATTGGAGACGAGGCATAAAAAAATGCACAGAGCGACAAGGTAGAGTAGGTGTCTCTCGTCTTCCGGGTTGGGGTCCAAAAGACCGCATGGTTGGGGACACTGAAGGTCATGGCTGCGAACCGACAGCAATGGCGATCATGGTGTCACTTCTTATCATACCAGAATGCTTGAACTAGTATGTATGCACAGTTGAGCTGTTTACTCTGTGTGTTGACCGCAGAGTTTCGCTTTCTTTTCCCGTTCCTAAAAGTAAGTTCAATTCCCATCCTCCTTACACATTCTTACTTAGCTGGTACGCAGTATGAGTTTGGTAGAGATCAGTGATGATGATGATGATGCCACTCTACCTGCCCCAAACCTCGAACCGTTGTACGCCACCCGTTTCATATGCCGCTTGCAGTCCAGCATCCAGCGAGGACACCGACTGGCCAGACTACACCTACAAGCGGCGCAACGGTGTCAAAGGGCATACTTTGATCTCCGGGTCACCCAAGCTGAGTACCACTTTGCGAGCGAGTGTGGTTATCAGAGCCCGCAGCCCCAGGCGGTATCCTGAATAAATTACATCGGCAGTGGAAACTACCATTTGTTGTTCAGGAAGTCCTTTCTAACATCTGTTCGATTATCGTTGCCCAGATGCCCCCAGTGGTCCACTATCGTGCATACTTACCGACTCCAACTGGCCACCTACATCACTGACAGCGC